GTGTGTCATAAAATATAAACTTTATAAAGGACACAAACACAAAAGGGTTTTTTTTACTTAAAATAAAACCATGCTTAAAATATTAGCACTCTTGCAATATTTTGTTTATTTAACAGTGTCTGATGACTGACACCTCTTGCTCTGAATTACTGCATCAAAATGTCTGTGCTGTTGTAATCTTGAGCATGCTGTTCAGGCGTGTATCTGTAAGTTGCAAACCTATGATGACGCAGCAGCAGCAGCAGAACTGGAAGAAGAAGCCAGAAGACAGCCAGTTCCACTGTGGGTCTGATAGAAGCCCTCCGGGGGCCTGATCCGGCCCCTGGGCCTCATGTTTGACACCCCTGATTTAGAGGCCACGTCTGAAGCATCCCTGTCAGTTCACAGCCTTCGATGCATAGAACTGCAACTGAAAAATGCAATCCACCGTGGTGTTCACAGCAGTAAACTCCACATCCAACAGGCTTTACTCAGATGTAATGGGCACAGGATTGCAGCCCCTCCTCTCCTGCACATAGCAATGATGGTACACAGATAACCCATAATCATAATTCTACCATTATTCGCCAAAGAGGAGTCCAGCTCTCTTGGAATATGAGGAACGGTGAGGGTGGAAAGTGTCAACAAATCACAGCTGACTTCTGGCAACCGCGTGGGGGTTTTCAAGATGAGAGGTGTTCAGAGGTGGTTTGCCCTTGCCTGCCTCCTCGTCATCACCCTGGTATTCCTTGGAGGTCTCCCATCCAAATACTGGGCTGGGCTGACCCTGTTTCGCTTTCCGAGATCCGACAGGGTCAGGCTGGCCTGGGCTATCCAGATCAGGGCGTGTGGACAATAGCTAAGAACAATCATGCTAAACTCTATTGAGTCCAAGATGAGATTTTCTTGTCCAGGAAAACATGTTCATCTTAATGTATATGGAGAGAAGGCATTACAGCTGCAAAAAACCGGGCATCCACACCATGCCTCAGGCACAATTAAAGAGAAGAAGAAGAGAGAAGAGATTGGATGTATACCCCGCCCTTCACTATCCAAGGGAGTCTCAGAGCGGCTCACAAACTCCTTTCCCTCCCCCTCCCCACAACAGACACCCTGTGAGGCAGGTGGGGCTGAGAGCTCTCTCGAGGACTGTCCTTGAGAGAACTGTGACTGGCCCAGGGTCACCCAGCTGGCTGCCTGTGGAGGAGTGGGGAATCAAACCCGGTTCTCCCAGATTAGAGTCTGCCACTCTTAACCACTACACCAAACTGAGCTCCCCCCCCCCCGCTTTAAGGCTATCCCATTTTGCATTTGTATCGCTTTGGGCATTTGCAGCTACCCCATAAACAGAGTTCCTCCCCCCCCCATAACACTTTTATGATGGCTATCAACCAACCCACCCACCCCTATTTCTTCCTCTGCCAAGACACGCCCTCCCTTCTGGAGCCAGTTCAAAGAGTCTGTATTTTAATTTTTCTGCCTCACCTCTCCATAAACAGCCATCGGCCACAGAGGATTTACTGCCTTCATCAAACACCCCATCCCTGCAACCAACATCAAACAGCTGGCACGTCCAAAATCAAGTCACCCGACTCTTATCGTTCGTAGTATTAGTCGCATTTTAAAAGCTTTGTGGACCGGAGAAGAGTTTGGATCATATTCCAGCCTCGGAAGCTATTGTTCCATGTGCAGAAATGATATGCCTCTGAGTCCGTGCAGAGTATTTTCCTCAACAGCTGAGATCCACAAGGTAAAGGTAATTAAGATGCTGAACTGCAGGCCTGAAAGTTGGTAGTTCGGCAGTTCGAGACCCCAGTGCTGCATGATGGAGTGAGTGCCCATCTCTGGCCCCAGCTCCTGCCAACCTAGCAGTTCGAAAGCAAGAAATTGCAAGTAGATAAATAGGTACCACTTCGGTGGGAAGGTAACAGCATTCCGTGCGCCTGGGCGTCTAGTCATGCCGGCCACATGACCACGGAAACGTCTTTGAAGAAGAAGAAGAGATTGGATTTATACCCCGCCCTTCACTACCCAAAGGTGTCTCAGAGCAGCTTACAAACTCCTTTCCCTTCCCCTCCCCACAACTGACACCCTGTGAGGTAGGTGGGGCTGAGAGAGCTCTGACAGAAACTGCTCTTTTTCAAGGACAGCTCTTATCAGAGCTACGGCTTGCCCAAGGTCATCCAGCCAGGTGCAAGTGGAGGAGTGGGGAATCAAACCCGGTTCTCCCAGATTAGAGTCCGCGCACTTAACCACTACACCAAACTGGTTCTTTGGACAGCGCTGGCTCTTCGGCTTGGAAACGGAGATGAACACCGCATTCCTAGTGTCATATTCGATCCGGTGGGAACCAGCCTAAAAAAATAAGCCTAACTCGCTGCATAATGCTACAAAAAGAGCTAGAGCTTCCGACTGCCACACGCAATAATTTTAATTTAATTTCCTTCTCACATGATGGACAGAGCAAAAGAAAGCACAGGACACAGTTAACTTATGGAACTCGCTGACACAAGATGTAGAGACAGCCTTGAAAGGGGATCAGACAAATTCATGCAAAAACAGACCATTGCTGCTATGAACCACGATTGCTAAAATGGAACCTCCATGTTCAGAGGCAATGTACCTCGGAATCAATGATAGCTTCTGGGTGCAGCACTGGGAGACTTTTCTGTGCTCCTGCTGTGAGCCTTCTGGTTAGCCACCATGAGAAACAGGGTGCTGGACTAGATGGACCATCTTTGATCTGATCCAGCAGCACTCCCCTTTGGGGGGGGGGACAGATTTCAGTTCAGGGAATGTAAGCCCATCTCCCTTCTGATGTCCTAAATATATAAGATGTGGAGGTGCTGTCTCTTAGAGACTGACAAAGCTTTGGAATTGGCATCACCTGGTAGCTTTGTACTTAATACTGGAAAAAGTCTTCAGAAATCAAAATAAAATGTTTAAAAGTGAATACAGGGCAGTTGATGGTATTTAAGCTCCACCTAGTGGTCACTGAAAGCTTTGCCGTAGGAGTTCTTTGCACTTATCTTGATCAGTTGTCACTGTTTTATGTCTTTCGATGTCTCAGTTTACTTCCCACAGTTAGAAAAGATGCCTTTACACACTTATCCCCTGTTTAGGCATATTTATTGCTTTGGTGCCCTCCCTCCCCCTTAATTAAATCAAAACAACCGTTGACCTTATAACCTTAGCTTGTTATTTAATTTTGGTTTTGCATAACTTAAAACATCTTCATCATGTTACATGTAAATCTGCTGTCCAGCCTGTCTATAAGTTTGAACTCTACCTTCCATTCCAGTGTATCTGAAAAAGCGTGCCTTGCACACAAAAGCTCATTCCTTGAAATAAACCTTTTCTGGTCTTAAAGGTGCCCCACTGGACTTTAAATTTGTTCTACTGCTTCAGACCAACACAGCTGACCACCTGGAACTATTTTCAGTTGGTTTGAGACAGTTGGTTTTGTGGGGGTCGGTTCCCGCCGTCCGCATCGTTTCAGCATAAAAGGGCACAGCTTAAGTTTTATTCAAAGCTACAAACCAAGAAATTAGAGCAAGTCAGAAACATTTAAGAGCATTTAGTTCTACTTTGCAGGGGGGGGGGGAGAACACAATTCAGAAATTAGGAAGCCTCCCCAAATCTCATTTGCTGATCATTGACAACTTGATAATATTCTTGGGATTTAGACTGATTAGCCCCCTTCCATCTTCTCCTTTATCAAAGCATTTATGATTTGTTTTTGGCAAGTTAAGATTCGGAAGGCATCGTTACCTGGTTCTCTTTCGTGCAGCTATTCCTTTCGTTGGGCTGACTTTTGTGTCTTCTGGTGATTGCCTGTTTTGCAATTCTCATAAAGTGTGTGCGTGGGGAACAAGCAAGCCTTCACAAGCATGACTTTACAAGTTTCTTTAAGGAGAAAGATCGGAGCAGTCAGTCCCTCTCCCTGAACATAAACAGCAGAATTACAGGTCCATAGAAGAGCTGCGGTGGCTCAAGTGGTTAAGACGCTGAACTGCAGGCTGTGGAAGGTCGGTAGTTCAGCAGTCCTAGACCCGAGTGTGCCGCATGACGGAGTGAGCTCCTGTCTCTTGTTCCAGCTCCTGCCAACCTAGCAGTTCGAAAGCAAGAAATTGCAAGTAGATAAATAGGTACCACTTTGGTGGGAAGGTAACAGCGTTCCGTGCGCCTCGGCATCTAGTCATGCCGGCCACATGACCACGGAAACATCTTCGGACAGCGCTGGCTCTTCGGCTTGGAAACGGAGATGAGCACCGCAACCCTAGAGTCGGACTCGACTGGCTTTCGAGCAAGGGAACCTTTACCTTTTACTAGAAGAGAGATGGTTCTGGCCACGCCTTCTTCCCAGTGATTCATGCGGAGACGCAACAGTTACATTTCTACTGTGGGCAGACAATACCACTGCATTAGGGGAGAAATGACCACATGCTCTAATCCCGTCCACAGGTTAACAGAAAGGCGGTAGGCCAGAGCGTGCAGAGACACTGCCACCAGCCTCCGCTACAGATGGGTACACTTTGGGATCATAAGAACCTTCAACAGCACCTGTTGCAGCTCTGGAAGAGTCAGTGCTCCAGGCCTGCCACCTTCCTATCAAGAACCACAGTGGGCAGAAAGGGACACTCTGCACCTTATTGTGCCGCACTATCCCGACACCCCTTGTGCCCGCGAAAATCATGCATCACACAGTAATCCACACATACATGCTGAATTCACAACCAGCCAACACAGTGGCTCAGATTTATCAGCCACTGGAGACATCAGCCCTGCCAAGTTTGCTTTGCCCAAACCCGCCCAGAGGCATTCACACATTCCATTGTTTAGTACATTTGTTTTATGAGATGGTACCAGCTCTGTGTTTTTAATATTTCTTGTGGCCTTGACAGAAGAATTATTTCTTCTCCCTACAAGCAGAAAAATACAGAGACATGCACTATAATATAACCCTAAGTCTGGAACTGATAATACGATCACGGAGACCGGCAACCAATTAAGTACGTGGAAACAATTTTATTTGTAAAACCCCCGAATCATACCAAAACATGGGATTTCTTTCTTTTTTTTTTTAAACAAGCCCACAAAACATAGGATTCCAGTTGCCACTTGGAAGTTGCCGAGGGAAACTGAACGGTAGGCACAAAAATCGGTAAAAACAAGTTTGGCGTTTTAAAAACGCAACGAGGCCCCCATCTTGAAATATAAAAGGAACCGAAGAGGGGAACATAATAAAAGGCATTTTGTGCTATGAGGAAGAAGGTAAGTCTTTTTTTAAATGGAAACCGCCAATGGGCTTTCAACTGCCCAAGCATTTCCAGGAAACCAGAGGGGCGAAAGTCCTCGCACCCCTGAGCTGCAGACGTCCGAGTTGCCTCCAGGCCCGCTGCGTCACCGTTTCTAAAGTTGGTGACTCTTTTGACGAAGTGCGTTTCGAGACGCATTGTCCCATCTCCACCTCTAGCCAAAGAAACCTTCTGTGGTGATCCAGTCCGGCGAGGGACAGCTCTTTGGACCACGTGAGCTGCTGCCACTCGCCTCCAAAGGAAAACGTGGCTCTTCACACACCTCCCCAATTACGCTCCGGACGTCTCTGTCATCCCCTCCTTTTTTGGTTTAAGGATTCCCTACTTCCAGTTGTCCGCGCAGCTACCCATTTTTCAGCTAGTCGGATCAGAACACCCACTACCAGGATCACCACGGCTACTGCCAGAGCCTGCCCCCGTCGGAAGAAGAGCTCTTTCGCAGAAAGGATGTCCCTGGACGGGGAAACGTCGCACGGTGGGGGCTCCTCGGCCTCAATGAGCTGCTGCTGTGGCTGGTTCGTGCTCCCATGAGCCACCTCGCTCACCGCTTCGCCGTTGGGAACCTCCGCTTCCATTGTGAGGTACACTGAGGGAAAGACCTCCCCGTTAAAGTCAAGTTATGTACACACCACCTCAGGGCTCCCCAAACCTTTTTGAGTCTGAGGGCACCTGTAGAATTCTGACAGAATGCGGTTTGGTCACAAAATGGCTGCCGCAGGAGGTAGAGCCAGCCACAAAATGGTGGCCACCGTTTACCCTCAGTCACATGGGGAAGATCCTTCTGCTGTGGCGGCAGCTGTTGCCAATCCAACGTTTCTGAAAATCTGCACGGCCGATCAAATCTCCAGTGGCCAGTTAGAAACCTTGCTGGGCAAACGCCCTGCCTGACCCCACTTACTTCATAAAAACACTTGGCAAGCCCCAGGAAGGGTGTCAGCGGGCACCAAGTTGGGGAACCTCGCACTACCTGCTAGCTATGCAGCGGGGATAGAAGGAAAAGAGAACAGATTGGATTCATACCCCGCCCTCCACTCGGCGTCTCAGAACGGCTTACAATCTCTTCCCCTTCCTCTCCCAACGGACTCCCCGTGAGGTAGGTGGGGCTGAGAGAAGCTCTGAGAAGAAACTGCTCTTGAGAGAACAGCTCTGAGAGAACTTGTGATTGACCCAAGGTCACCCATCTGGCTGCGTGTGGACGAGTGGGGAATCAAACCTGGTTCTCCCAGATTAGAGTCCGCGCCCTTAACCCCACTACACCAAACTGGCTTTCTGCATAATCAAAGGGTCCAATCCAGTCTAAAGCTGTGGGGATAGTATCTTGCCTTGGTCCACCTACAGAAACCAGTCTCTCTTTTGTGAGTGGCCCATGAGAAAAAATTATACGTTGAGGGCACTGCAAACACCCACTGCAGAACACACACACACACACAAAGACATGAAGCTGCCCGAAATCATGTTCAACCATCAGTACAGAGTTGGTGGACATGGACGTTAAAGCTGCGTCCGTACTGCTGCGTCCACTTAGTTCAACTCGCTCTTGGCTGCTAGGGGCCCTCAGGAACAGCAACCCAGCAGAGCCTGCCCCAGCCCACCCCGGCATTTAGCCCCCTGGCGCCAACTAGCAAGCAGGAGCTCTCCAGGGTCTCGGGCAGAGAGGGGGTTTCCCCAGCCTCGGATGCCTGGAATTCTCCAGCAGGAAACTGAACTTTGGAGTTAAGGCATGTGAAGTATGCGCTCTCTTGCTGAGCTCTGGGCCTGGCCCTGAATACAAAGCTGGCTTCTAAGAGACAAACCACAGGCTCACGTGGCTGGCATGCCGCGTGGACTGGCAGCTGAGAACGGCCTTCCCCCAAGACCTGCTCTCCGAGCTTCCAGAGCGAAAGGCTTGAACCCGGGGCCTTCTGCAAGCCAAGCAGATGCTCCAGCAACTGAGTCACTGCCCCTGCCTGACTAATCCCAGCGGGGGCGGAGGTGGGCCAGCCTCCGAGGATGTGTGTCGTGCCGAGTGCCATTCAGTCACAGCCGACTTGTGGTCGTCTCCCGGGGTTTTCTAGGGAAGAGGGAGACAGAGGTGGCTTGCCATTGCCTGCCTCTGCGTCACAACCCTGGACTTTCTTTGGCGGCCTCCCCATCCAAAGACGTACCAGGGCCGGCCCCTGCTTCGCTTCCGGGATCTGATCCACTGTTCCCTCTAAGCTGAGTTAGTGTGAGCTAGCTCACAGGTTTTTTTAGCCTCTGGCTCACACATTTTTGACTCCACTCAGGAAGGGGGGGCTCCAGAGCAAACTAATTTATGCAGGAGCCAAATTGCTCGCTCACAACTTTAATGCTAGTGGCTCACAAAGCAGAAGTTTTGTTCACAAGACTCCATGGCTTAGAGGGAGCATTGGATGGGACTCAACGGGCCTTCCGGGTCAGGGCGCCCCAGATGGTAAACGAGAGCCGTTTGCTGAGACAACCTGGGAGATTCAAGGAGAGGAACCCTTAACCTAACCCCAGACCCATCCTGTTCCTGCTTGCAGCCTCTCCTGTTGGCCTCCCGGAAGGCCTGGAGGGAGAAACAGGGGAGGGCGTCCCTCTCCGACTTGGGCATCCACAAGCTGAAAGCCACCCAGGTGTCACCAAGGGCACAGGAGCACACGAAGCTGCCTGGATACTGAGTGAGACCTTTGGTCCCTCCAGATCAGTTTTGTCTACTCAGACTGGCAGCGGCTTTCCAGGGTCTCAGGATGAGGCCTTTCACATCCCCTACTAACTGGAGGTGCCGGGGATTGAACCTGCGGCCTTCTGCATGCCAAGCAAATGCTCTACCACCAGGCCACGGCCCCTCTCCGTGGCTCTCCAGGGTCTCAGGCACATCCCCTACTGCCCAGTCCTTTCAAGTGGAGATGCCGGGGATTGAACCTGGGACCTTCTGCATGCCAAGCAAAAGCTCTACACCCGAGCCACGGCCCCTCTCCATGGTTCTCCGGGGTCTGACTGGTCCCTTTAACTGGAGATGCCAGTTTTCACTGACTGTTCAGGGAAAAAACACTGAAAAAATACCGCTGTTTAAATGTCTAGTATTTCTCCTATGTTTTTTTCAGGCAAAATACTGGACAGTCTGGGTCAATACCGGGCACTTGGCAACCTTGACCTCAAATGCCTCTGCACCTGCAGCAGCAACAAGAGCTAGATGGAGCATCATCTCTGCATGGACGCTGCCCACTAGAGCTAGTGGAGTGTAGCAATTAAGTGGGTTGGGCTAGTATCTGGGAGGTAAACGGTAAAGGTTTCCCTTGCTGGAAAGCCAGTTGAATCCGACTCTAGGGGGCGGTGCTCATTCCGTTTCCAAGCTGAAGAGCCAGCATTGTCTGAAGACGTTTCCGTGGTCACGTGGCCGGCATGACTAGACGCCAAGGCGCACGGAACGCTGTTACCTTCCCACTGAAGTGGTACCTATTTATCTACTTGCAATTTCTTGCTTTCGAACTGCGAGGTTGGCAGGAGCTGGGGCCAGAGACGGGAGCTCATTCTGTCACGCGGCACTTGGGTCTCGAACTGCCAAACTACAGACCTTCTGGCCTGCAGCTCAGCATCTTAACCTCTGAGTCCCTAGTATCTGGGAGACCTGGGTTCAAATCCCCACTCGGTCGATGGAAGCTCGCTGGGTGACCTTGGGCCAGTCACACACTCTCAGCCTAGCCATCCTCACAGGGTTGTTGTGAAGATAAAAATAGAGGAGAATGATGTAAACTGCTTTCGGTCTCCATCGGGGAGAAAGGCAGGGTACAAATGAATAAAAATAAATAAAAATAAACTAAGGAACCGGAAATTCTGCCCTTAGAAGGACTTGGTTCCTTCTGAATCGGGGATCCTAGCGCCTTTCTGGGCTCCCTTGGCAGCCTTCCTTTACTACGGTGTTTTTCAGCCTAACCTTCAGGGAGCATTTCCCACATCTACCAGGAGGTTTCCCATGTCTGCCACAGTCCCCCAGAGGATCCTGGGAAATATTAGCTGGCCAACTGAAAGGGTGGCCAAGAACAAACTCTCCTGCAGCTGTGCACCGTGGGAGAGGATCGGCGGTGACGAGTGAGCTACCTTGCAGGGAAGCTGGTCTGCAGTCCTTCCTCATCTTCTCATTGCGGACACACACCCCACCCCCACCCCCACACATTCTGGAGGATCCCTGGAGGTCTCCAGAGCAGAGTCCCCTGTCCCCCCCCCCCAGTCAACAGAAGACAAATTCAGAAAGGACCCCCTCTCACCGATCTCCACCCTGTTCAAGACACCTACCTAAGGACACTGTCTTGTTAGCTGCATCGTCGTCGTCACGGCCAGTCTGTAACCGGGCTACCAGCCCAGCTCGGACCTGAGCCTAGAGGATTTCAGAGAGAGAGAAGAGAGTCTTGGAAGGATGCCCGAAAGCACCGTCAAAGCCCACATTCCAGACAACATCCCTGTTGGGCAAAGTCGCATCATATTCCAAGAGAGCTGGACTCCTCTTTGGCGAATAATGGTAGAATTATGATTATGGGTTATATGTGTACCGTCATTCCTGTGGCAATCCCAGCCAGCCTCTTGGGCGTCCTCCGTGGCTGCAGACACAGGATCTCTAACCGGGGACCCAGAAGCGAAATCCTTAAAATATGGACTTCAAGTTTCTAGCCCTCCCTCAGTGTTCAAAACACGTTGGCCTTCCCTCTTTCATGTTAGATGTGGCCGAGCTCGGAAGGAAACCAGAACTCCACACGGGCGCGTGCACACGTGCACGCGCTCCCTTCCCCCCCTTCGCCACCCCTCCGAGGAGAAGATGGGAAGGAAAATGGGTCCCGGAGAGTGGCGCCGCGGGTGTTCATCCTCCCCGCTTTCTCTCCCATCTCCCACTGCAGAAGAAGAGAGGCCAAGTCGAAAGGCTCCCAGCAGAGTCCAGTGCTCCGGTTCCCGTGTGATGCTCCGAGCCCCGCCCAGAGACGGGCAAACGACAGCCGGGAGATCTGCACATACCACGAGCAGAGCGTGTGGGATGCCAACGGCTGTTTAAGACAAACGGTATGCGCAGTCCCCGGCTGGGCAGCATCACCCGGTCCAACAGGTCCGTTAGTGCCGGCGTGAGGCCGATTCCGAAACCTCAGTGTGGGGGGAAGCCCAGCCTTCCCCCCCTGCGCAAGACTGCCAATTGTGCACAGCCTGGCACCCGGATCGACCAATGAGAACCAAGAGGCTGTGGAAATGAAAGACAGCCCGTTTGTGCTGCTCCGCAGGCTGGCTGCAACAACCACGGGTCCCAGAGGAAGCAGCACAGCGACACTATATGACTCAGGAGCCTTTGCGAAACCTGCCGTCTTGAGGCTAGCAGGAGAAAGGCGATGATGTCAGGGAGGTTTGCTCGGGGAGCAGGGCCCCTGGCGAGCTTTGGACTGGGGGGGGGGGCGTGGATCTCCTGCCTGGACTTGTCCAGCCGAGGAAGCGGCGGCCACCGCCTGCCCCTCTTTTCTTCCCCCCTTCAAGTCAGAGCCGACTTACAGCAACCTTGTAGGGTTTTGAAGGCAAGAGACACTGAGAGGTGGTTTGTCTACTGCCTGCCTCTGCGTAGCAACCTTGGACTTCCTCGGCAGTCTCCCATCCAAATACTAACCAGGGCCGACCCTGCTTAGCTTCCCAGAGCTGACGAGATTGGTTGACCGGGACCACCCCGGTCAGGGTGCCTGCCCCTCTACGAGGAAGCACTCCCAGCTTCTCCAGGGAGGCTGAAATCAGTTGACGCTCATTCACCAGAAAACAGAATGGAGAGAGAGAGATCTGAATGAGCAAAGGGCTCCCCCCTCCTAGTCTTAGGCAGATCATGGGAGGGAGGGAGGGCAGGAAGGGTTGCCTCAGTGCTTAGTTCTCGTGGCCCTTTCTTACACGCCCAGGGAAATGCCTGTCGCCACTTTGGGGTCAGGAAGCCATTTTTCTCCAGGCCGGTTTGGCCAGGGATCCTGGAGGCTTTTTGGTCATCTTCTGGGCGTGGAGCAGGGGTCACTGGGGGTGTGGAGGGGGAGGTGTTTGTGAATTTCCTGCCTTGTGCAGGGGGTTGGACTAGATGACCCTGGAGGTCCCTTCCAACTCTATGATTCTATGACTCTATGATTCTAGTCTCACAGGGAAGCGGTCTACATGTCTCAGCCCTCTTTTAGGGACAACCAGAGTGAGGTGGTCCCTTGAAGGTCGCCACTAAGAGCTATGAGAACCCATCTGCCAGCGCAGTGGGACTAGAACTCATGGCACTGAAGACGCCCTGAAGACTCACCTCTTCAGCAGCTTTCTTCCAGTCCATGCGCAGGACGAAGATCAAGAAAGAGGCCGCTTGCAAAGAGATGCACACGATCAAGCCGAACCACAGGCCTGGAAAGAAGGCAAAAACGTCAAGCTAAGTGCTCGGTGGAATTTTCCTTTTCCTTTTTCTTTCTTTTCTTTTTTTCTGTATTTCCTGCAACATACAAAAATGATTTGCTATCTTTTATGCTTCCTCCAAGGAGCAGCGGGTGGCATACGAGAACCTCACTCAATTTCATCCTCACAACGATCCTGCAAGGCAGGCTAGACAGAGTGAGCAAGCTTCCCTACCCGAATGGGCTAATTTGAACTAGGGTTTGAACTAGGAGCTGCGGTGGCTCAACTGGTTAAGACGCTGAACTGCAGGCTGTGGAAGGTAAGTAGTTCAGCAGTTCGAGACCCGGGTGCCGCATGACGGAGTGAGCTCCCGTCTCTAGTTCCAGCTCCTGCCAACCTAGCAGTTCGAAAGCAAGAAATTGCAAGTAGATAAATAGGTACCACTTTGGTGGGAAGGTAACAGTGTTCCGTGCGCCTTGGTGTTTAGTCATGCCGGCCACATGACCACGGAAACGTCTTCGGACAGCGCTGGCTCTTCGGCTTTGAGACGGAGATGAGCACCGCAACCCTAGAGGCGGATTCGACTGGCTTTCGAGCAAGGGAACCTTTACCTTTACCTTTCCTCCAGTTCCAGCTCAGCACTAACTACACCATGCTGCCCGTTCTCCTCCCCCGAGTTCCTCAGAAAATTAGCTTAGAGCTCTTTTCCTGATTGCAGGAACTGGCCACAAGCCGTCCATTGGACCCCAAAAGAGAAACTGGAGTGAAAAATCTCAGGACCCAAACGGAAACTTCTCACAAAAGCTGCCTTTGAGTCCTCAACTCTAATATGACATCTGCTCACAAGGCCTGCTGGACTTTTGCTATGGAAGCTTAGAAATTCTGAGTTTTAATGAGGTGAGATTTTTTTTTAGAAAAAAACCACTCCGACAATCATACAGACCAAAACTGATTGTCTGTGAGACGTGGGGGGGGGGGGGCTGCCAGTACTGCCTCTGCGTAAAACAGAATGTTCTAAACAGCTTCCAACAGCAATAAAAGCATAAAAACAGGAACAGCAATCAAAAAGTAGCAATTAATAAAGAAAGGCCCCGGTCACACGGGAGGTTTTGCCCCACAAGAGGGACGGATCGGGGGCGCATCAAAAGGGCACGATCACACCGCAATATTTGAGAAGCGGAGCGCACCAGTCCCTGATCCGTCCTTTCTGGG